AAACCAGATTTCTATTTCACCGTTTCTGATTTTCATTGACTTAAACCCGGTTTAAATAAAACATGTTTAATTATGATATAGCCGCTTTTTCAGCAAATGTATTGTTTTCCTATTCCAAAAATTATATTTAGATTATTAATGTTCCATAATACAAGTTATGGCATGTGTACTAATAAAGCATAATTAGGCGTAAATAAAGCGATAAGAATGCGACAGGAAAGACAAAGGAAGGTGTCACGCTTTGAACACGCCCTGCTCGATCTCTGCATCCTGTCTGATCCCTTTGTGGTTTTTATGATGAGTGTGAGTGCAAAAGTGAGAAGTCCTCTTCGCAACCATTGTTTGGTTCCGTCACACAATGTGTTCTTGTCACGCAATGGTTGCCGTTGCGTGACGAGACAAGCAAAGGCAGACAAGAAGAGAGGATTTGACTCATGAAAGGATGAAGGACCATAACAGGAAAGATGTGGGGTGCATTGGGGCTAGAAAGGTTCAGGAGTGAAAGATCATGGGATGAATATTTTTATCAAGTAGCCGCTGCTCGCTTGCAGAGAAGGGACGTCTCAGTAAGCGTTACGTTGTTTTGAACGCGTACAGCTTACATCGGTACCAATAAGAAGAAGACCGGTATATGTGTATGAGCTCTAGCAAAAATTAGCGCGAGAAACGTGACAGGAGACCACTCTGAACAAAGCCATGCGTTGAAAAATTGGATCAAGATCTTTTTCTGTTCTTTCTTAATCGAAGTAAATATTTTCAAACTCCAGACGAAAAGTAAATATGCTTAAGAACGATTCACTATCGAAGTCTCGTAAGCAATGAAATGATCTCTCCCCCGCCTCTACTCTACGTACCAAATCGAAATTCAAAGTAACTACGAGTACGACATAAAATGGCCCTTGCCTAACTTAAGAAACCCTGTACAGCCTGATTAATGTTATTTTTTAGCTGTTTATAGATGAAATTGAAGATTTTGCGCTGATTTTTGTACAAAAAAAAAAGAGAGAGAGAGAGAGAGTGAAAAAAGAGAAGGTGAAGAGCAACATGGATTACAATTTTTAAAAAGCCACTTACCAGTCAATCATGAACCCAATTTGGGGAGACTATGATATACTCTGGATTTAACTCTCGGCCTGACTTAGTCTAAATATCATTTAAAAGAACCAACTATCACCTTTACCGGCACGTCTTTGCTTTGGGTGCGAGTAATGCTTCTTCCCGTAAACAAGGAGTGTGGTTACGAAAACAACTTGCGCCATTGCGAACAGTTTGTAT